CTGCCGTTTCCTGCGGGATCCCGGCCCAAATACCGGGACACCGACAAAACCTTCCCGGGATGTCGCTCCATCCCAGCCCCTGAACCCTCACATTCCCAAAATTCCCAATCATATGGTATTCCCACTGATCCAGGCTGGTTTGGACATCCCTTTTCCATAGAATTCCCCACTGGAAGCTCCAGCAGAGCTTTTTTCCACTCCTGTGGTGTTTTTCCAAGCAGATCCCGAGTCCAGGGTGGGATCCATCACCTGTTGGGTTTTTTTCCTTCTATCCTATCCCAGGCCGGATTCCCAGCCTGGATTTGGGCTTTTGGAGCACTCAGGGTGGGAACRGTGGAGTTATTCCCCATAATGAATTCTTGGGAATTGTGGTGGAGTTATTCCCCATAATGAATTCTTGGGAATTGTGGCAGCCTTTAATTATGGCGCTGCTGGAAAACCATCCCTGGTAATTAAACCCCTTTGTGTCACAGTCCATCCGGGAATCCTTCCCACCTCGTTGTGCAGCTTGTGCTAATTAGGGTTAATTACACCGCAGGGGTGTCCACAGCCTTCTCATGGCACCATTCTCCCTCAAATCCCAATTGGGATCCTTGGGAATATGGCATTATCCCAGCTTTTAGGAGCAGTTGTGGGATTTTTCCAGGGCTGGGATGAGCCAGGGCCTCAGGGCTGTTCCGATTGTCCCAACGATCCGCACGGATCTATAAGGCTGGGATCGAAAACCACCCCTGGGGGGTTGGTTCTTCTGATTTTTGCAGCTCTTTGAGCTTTATCTCAGATTTTCTGAGSCATCAGGAAGCCTGGATCCCTGCTGGGAAACGCTGGATCCATGGTGGGAAGCCATGGCCCTGTTTCTGTGGGATTTTTCCCTCAAAACACACAACGAGAAGATCCCAGGGGGTCATTGGAACCCAAAGTCCCTGTGGAGGGACCTGGAATTGGTGTGGGAATCCTCTAAATCCATGAATTGGGCTGGAATTTCTCCATGGGAAAGGCCCTGGCCTTGCTGATGCATCCGTAGGGGGGATTGGAATTGGTGGTGAGGGGCCTGGAGCCCCTCAATCCCTGAATTTAGTGGGGAAACACCAAGGGAATGATTTGGGATCCTCAGTGGGATTCACTGCTGCTCTTTGGAGCCTATTCCCACCCCACTCTGACAAATCCCAGCGTCCAAACCCTTCCCGGAGCCGTCTCCAGCCCAGGGGACAATGGAGCCGTTGTCACCCGGGGGTGGGGACAATCCCGATGGATCCCGACCTCAATGGGGCATTATGAGCCCTCGGGATGAGCCCTGGGGTGGCCAARATGAAGGGAAAACCAGGGTTCACCCAGAATTAGGGGGTGGAAGTATCATTATCCCACCAGTGGGATGCAGGAGAGGCTTCCCAAAATGCCTTGGAGATCCCAAAATGGTGCTAAACCCCGGGATTTAGGATCAATGGGATTTGGGGTCGGTGCTAGCAGGGAGAGAACTGAATCCCWTGGGAATGTGGAGATGGCAGTGACCATCCCAAGAGATTTTCCATGAGTATCCCTCAGGCCTGGTATAGTTGTGGAGGTGAGAAATGGGTTTGGAAGAACGGGAATTTAGTCAGGAATGGGAAAGGAATTGTTGAAATGTGACGGAAAAACACCRGGAATGTGGCAGGACGTGGATGGGCTCTTCCCTGGATTTTGGGTGATCCAAAATGCCACAGATGGGGTTGCTGGGGAGAACCTGGGAAGAACGAGAACTTGAGATTGGAGAGGGAATCCCGGGCAGAAATGAGAGGGGGATGGGTAGGATCAGGCTGGGGTCAGACAAGGTGTTTCCCCACAAATTTCCCTGGGTCTGGGAAGTTCCCACCGCACTTCTCCACCCTGAAACCTTTGTCCCTTTGTCCCTTTGGTGGCTCTTGTCACGCCTGCATCCAGCTGGGAGGTGGCAGGATCCGGGCAGGTGACGTCCATCCCGGGACTCCTTCCCACGTCACTGCAGGGCACAGATCCTGCCCACCCCGGAGCTGGGTGACACCTGCTCCGTGTGGCACTCACGTCACCTTCTCGGAATCCTGAGGGGGAAATGGGGGTTCCTCTGGGTCACCTGATAGAGCTGGGAATTCCAKGAGGGATGGATTGGGGGTTTATCCCAGGATTGGGGCTGGGAGAAGGGAACAGCAGAACCAGAGGTGTCAGATCTCTGTGGGAATCACATTCCTCTGGGATCTGCACTTCCCATCTCAGACTCAGCAGGAATTCGGGGGGAATTCGGGCTTTCCCGAGGTTTATTCCACCCTTTTCCAGCCGCCGGACTCGTCCTCCCGGTTGGGCAGGAAATGTTTTTCCGGGGCTGTCATTCCCATTCCGTGCCTGCTCAGGACAGAGGTCACGCTTTGCCCGGAAAGCTCCGGTTGGGTGACGGGATCGGGGTTTTGTTGTTGTCATTCCCGTCGGAGCCGCTCCCTGGGCGATGCCAGCTCCGTGCCCAGGGGACAC